GGTGGCTAGGGTTAAAACGTACGTACGGGATCCAAGAACCAAACTTGAGTACCTAGTCATTTGGGGGTACCACCCACCCAACAGTGAACACTACGCTATCAGTTTTTGGTTGGCTTTGAGTGAAGGTAAGTTTAAGATTTTCAAAACCCTTTTATCTTAAACTAGGCCTAGCTTAAGGATTATTTAGGAATATTTTATACTGGAATATAGTTTAATTATTTAAACTAGAATTCGTTTAAGGGTTGAAAAATATTAAAGTGATTGGTCGTAGACTAAGAATAGTTTAAGGATATTGTTGAATGTTGAATATTGAATATTGAATATTGAATATGAGTAAATATTGAATGATGAATATTGAATTGAATATTGCAATTATTATGAATGACTGATGAACATTGAATGTGAATAAAAATGTTGAATAATGCATGATGAATAATTTTTAATAATTATTGTTTATCTGAACTGAATATTATGTGCATGATATCAAATGATTTGATTATGAATTTAGATTCAGTTTATATGGATGCTCGATGCATTAGATATGTTTACTCAGCTTCAACGCTGAGCGTGTAGTATGTTTTATTTGCTACACGCAGGTTAATGAAGTGACGTGATCCTGGAGGCAGACGGAGGCGAGATTGTCGGAATGGATGTGATGGTTTTGAATTAAAGAACATAAATAAATTATGTTTGTGATTATGATTGTTAAGCTTCCGCAATATTGAAAACTCCGTACTGTTTATATTATGAAAAATATTATTGTGATAAATAAAAGTGTTTGAAATGTTTTAAATTTTTACGATTACCAAGTTAATACTTTAATCTGAAAGGGGCTGCAGGCCTGGATAGATTAGGGTATTACAGGATCGATCCAGACAATATGATTGATCGAGACAGTGGTTTTTCAGCCACTGTTCATCTTCTTCAACCTTCGGTCCATTTTTTGGAAATACCACTTTTAGTCTCCGAACTTCAACGAAACTATATAGAGATTTTCTCTAAGGTTCATAGATCATTTTGGCATCATTAGTTCATAGTTTTAACATCAATTTCATGGTTTAGGATTCTTGATTCTTCAAGCATGTGAAACACAAAGCTCAACCAAACGACCGTTTATGAACGTAGAAATGATCTATACGAACATTCTAGTCACTAGATATATCTACGAGCTTACCTCAAAGCTTTACGAAGGGTTTGAAAATTTTCCGGCGACGATAACTCCCAACTCCGGCGACCTCTCACCAAATTGACAGCACTATAACACTCCTCAAACTCTCAAGAACAGAATGGTATTACACTTATTGAGTTTTGGTAAAGAATAAGGAGAGTGAAAGTGGTTTATACAGTCGAGGAAGTGAAGATGAGGCCAATGGTGATGTACGCAGTTCCTGTTATGGCGTCTCAGTGGGAAGGGCTGCGATATTCACGATTCCAAATGTAAGTCCCTGATTGGGACTAATTTCGGTCCTAGTCAGGGTACACTTCTTGGTCCAACTTTCTCCAATTTGAATTCCGTTTGCACCGTTGTGATCAGACAATCAAACTCTATCTAACGATATACTTTTTATATTTATTTGTAATACTTTTTCTGACATCATATTTTTGGGTGGTTGACTTTGACAGAGTCAAAATTGATTTAATTGAGCTTTACTCAAAAAGGTTCTCATATTCAATTCATATTGTTTATTCTCATGATTTATTTCAGTAAACCATTTTAACGTTTACATCATAAACACATTATTCATTTATTCTTGATTTTGGGTCTCTACTCAGGTTCCCAATCAAGGTCACACAATAAGTCAACATATTGGATTTATCTCTATGAGACCTAATTAGATTTTTAATATTGGATATCAAAACATATTTTATATCGGCCCAAATCCCGATAACAATTTATTTTAATCAAAACAAATTTAATTAATCAAATAATTATTCATTAATAATTCTAGGGTATGTTTTGGGGCGTTACATTTCTTCCCCCCTAAAATCGAATTTCGTCCTCGAAATTCTTTTGAGGTTCCACAATCGATAGCTTGTTGTATTTACGACAATCATGACCGCGTTATGTTAATTCGGTTAAACCATAATTACGTCATTATCCACATGGATACGTAATCTCAAACTGTCGATGTTATCAAACTCGTTCTTTCTTCAAGAGGTTAACAATCTTAGCTTAAGCAAGGTTTCTAACGATCCTTTTTGTAGGTTCCCGTTCAGATGAAACATCCATAACCAAGATTCCTTTGCAGGGTATAACATTGTATTTTGAGGCATTTTTGACATACTTGCATGTCACTTTGTTCATTCACAATTCTCAATTGTACAACGTCGATTAATGATATTCTTCCTTTGTTTGATAGTCCTTCAGTAGTATTTGCAGTTTCAAGTTCACGATAGATGCAGTTTCAAGTTACACCAACATCGTATATAGGTTCGGGATTTTCGTTTGAATGATTCAGTTTAATCCTTGGGACGCCATTGCTTCTCTGGTTGTTGCACATACCTTTCCTTGCTAGGGTCAAAACAGAGTTCTTGATCATCATCGATAATAATCTTCATAGATAACACAATCGCATCAACCGTTTTGTACTTCACAAAGAGAGGTTTTAGATAATGTTCAAGTCAGGGTAGTTTTACTATTGTGATCGAGTCACGTAGTTCACAGAGTATAGTTTTCAAAGGTTGGTATCATAATAGATCTTTTGGGTTCAATACAGAATCATGAGTCAAGATAAGTTTTCTATAGTTTAATATCTTGATACAAACAATGAAATTCGGTCTTTTCAAGATTGATCAATGAGATGTTTGAAGTGTGTAATCAACATAGGAAGTTTGGGTATTTCAAGGATATGAGTCACAAAATACGAATGTAGTATTTGCGAATTATCACCACTAATCGTAGGTTTTCATACTCTTTGGAAGTTATTCAAGGGATCGTTATCTTAGGGCATTAGCCACTTTTCACATTTCGTCTCAGATTTGAACGTGTTTCAAAATAGCGAATCTAACTGTTCATGAGTCTCAAAACGTCATATCGTCACCAGACTGTAGTATTAGCGAGTACGTTTTAATCTATAGGTAAATCAAAGAGAACCCACTTTTTTATACATATTCCGGCCGATGATAATTACCTTTGTGTCAATAGTCAGGTTTCAGAGCCTTTATATATTATGATTGGGGAAAGGGAATCTCACATTCTCACATTATTGAAGGAACTTCTTGAACACTTCCTTACACCATAAAATTCGTTGGTTTACTTGGTAGTTCATGCTCTTGGTAGAAATCTAAAGTTCATGGCTTCGGCGGTAGATTTAGGAAGGGAATTGATAGGGCGAAAGATTAAACTTGTCTATGGAGGAGGTAGTGTTGGCCTTCAAGGAGTTGTTGCTTCAATAGTCATTACCAATGGTGGTCTCGTTAGAGGTTTCATTCCTGGGTACATAGCAACATGACGTGTCTATGGACCTACGTACGGTGTAGAGCATACAGTTTCCAGCAACTATTACAAATATTTTGAGATGAATCATGCCGTGAAAGCTTTCATCATTCTTCTCGGAGGAGTTGACACTATAGAAGGTTTGTTCACCTTGATCTCCTGGGCTTGAGAAGGGTTACACAATAGAACCATTGGTCTCTTGAACATTGACGGTTATTTCAATAACCCAATCAAATTTCTAGACGATGCGGTGAGGTAGAACTTCATGTCTTTGAGTCAGAGGAAACTTTTCATTTCTTCTTTCTTTGTTGATGAGCTTTTAGACAAACTAGAGTTTGCTAGCTACGACGAGTTTGTAAATCTTGAGAGATTAGCCATAAACATCAATGGTTAGCCATATGTAAGTTACATTTTCTTCATTCTTCAGTCTTTCACTGTTGGTGTCACTGTTTCACATCTTGTTTTGTATTGTCACCACGTCGCAATCTCTCACGTCAATATGGTATACAAACGAGTCAATCACTTTACTTTATTATTTGAATTAGACTAAATTGACGTTTCCGATGATAAGCAATTAGGTCATTAATCGCTTCATAACAAGGCATCAGTTCATTCAACAAGGTTGAGCGGTCTATAGCTTCTAACAAGCAGGTTATTTGAATTTGACCGAATAAGTCGCCAGTTCATAATAAAGGGTAGCGATTCTTGATCATCAGTATATTTGAATTTCTTAACAGAGATTTCATGGTATCCTGACTGTAAGTAAATCTTAGAGAACACAATGGATCCTCTAAGCTGATCAAACAAGTCATCGATACGAGATAAAGGATAACGATTTATGACAGTAGTTTATATAGAGTCTCATCGATTCTTCTTTATTCGCGTATGAACCAAACAGGTATTAAAAGAGGAAATACTTGATCAGACAATTCTTTGTTGGGAAATCCTTGAGTTTTCAATCTTAGCGGAAATATATTCGATAAGGAGTTTACATAGATATAAGATAGATCAATACATGCATAATTTTATTGAATTAGGAAACATATTAATCATGACATCAGAATTTTCCTTAACGCGATCTTTCACAGTATTCACTCTGGTATGAGTTTGTTTGCGGGTTATTTCCTGCAAGTCGAGCTGATGTCAACTGTCTTTGAACAGAGGCCATCGGAAATGGGTTTCCAGGGTTCGTTGGACATTCCCTTCAATAATGTCCAGGCTTTCCACAACCGAGACATAATCCTTGTGTCATCCGACATACTCCTGGATGGTGCCTTCTACAAATATTACACTTTAGATGCTTCCATGCCCTCAATTTGCATTGAGTTGTCAGAGGCTTCATTCTTTTCGCATGTGGGGTACTACAGGTTCCAATCAAAGGTTTCTTTCCCTTAATAATTAGCGGGATACTTGAATTAGCATTGGATTGGACTTCCATATCTCGGTGGACATTTTGGTTATCTGGTTCATTTTGGACAACAAGAGTGAAGTTCGATATTTCAATATGAACAATCGTGTGTCCACTATCTGGCACTTGGTTATCTTGTCCGTAAGCGGTTTCTTGACTCATTCTACAATAGTAGGAATTTCCTTATTAGGAATCTTTATTCGCGAGTTTGATAACAAATATCACGAGAGTGTTCAACAGTTTCAATAGTTGTAAACAATCATGAGAATTTTAGGTGAAACAACATGATTTATTAATTCTAAACGTTTTCATTTGCGTCAACGGTCAGTTCGCGTTGAATTCACATGAGGATCTTCAACATCCGCTTCACATATGTTTATTCAACATTAATCGTTTCTTCATTGTCCTCTCACTTCCATGCGACTTTACAAGGCAGATCAGTTTCTTCATTCGCGATGCGATGAGCATGTTGATAACGTATCAAAGGGTTATATATTTCTTTGTTTATTCTTTCTTTTCTTCATCAAGTACGGAAGTTCGAATTGAGTCTAGCTCGATATTGTTTTTGTACTAATAATTGTTATCTAACGAGAATTTATTATAGTCAATATTTACCAAGTAAATTCTCATACCTTTCCTGGAGCAGAGGGATGCGAGAGTCGTGGATGTGATTGACATTTTTATATCTATATATAACTGAAATATATATATAATATATATATTTTTTAAATCCAAGTTTTGATCCGAAGATCGGATTTAAAACCATTTGCTCCAATACCAAAATGTAACACTCTAATCCGTCCAGGCTTTCCACAGCCGAGACATTATCCTTGTGTCATCCGCCATACTCCTTGATGGTGCCTTTTACAAATATTGAACTTCGGATGCTTCCATGCCCTCAATTTGCGTTGAGTTGTGAGAGGCTTCATTCTTTTCGCATGTGGGGTACTACAGGTTCCAATCAAAGGTTTCTTTCCCTTAATAATTAGCGGGATAC